CCCCCCCCCCCCCCCCCCCAATTTTCACATGAACCTTTGCAGGAACTTTCTGATAGTCCCATTTAAATAGCAAATGTCAGCTTTTGAGCAAAGTTTTTTCTAAGTTTTTTTTAAATATATATAAAAAACTTTTTAAATTAACAAGATATATTAAGTATTAAGAGTTATAGTATCTAAATAGGGAAAAGATTGACTGGAAAAATTGGCAATGTAAGAAGCCCGATGTTAAGAAAGTAGTACAATAGTGTTCAAATGTGCAAATGTGCTTTCAGCCCAATCTCTGTCATTACATTGTCTATGTAATGTACATAATTCATCGGCCAACATTTTTACATGCGTTGCTTAGACAGAACAAAAACTAAACATGAACAAAGAAGGAAAATGAGCTGCTTGTGAGATAGTGGTGAAAGTTATTTTTAATTCTCTTTCCCCCAAATTGGTTATGTTAGAAAATGTTTGTTAATTGACTCATTAATTGACTAGCTAGATAACATAACAGAAAAAATACCGGTTGGCAGACTACATTTTGTTTTAGAAGAGGAAAACACAGAAAGAAGCTTCAGATGGCAGCCTTTAGAACTGAATAAGTCCACTATTTTTTAATTTTAATTTTTGCTAATGAGATAATGAAATGATATTCCCACAATCAATCAGTCAGAATAGAGTTGGAGAGGACCTTGGAGATCTTCTAGTCCAATCCCCTGCTCAAGCAGGAGATTTGGGCAAACTTGCAAATATAAGTGTATAAGTACAGGATAACATGTCAAAGAATCTTGTTCCAGGGACAAACCTTGCATTCAGATGACAAAGCCAACTCTAGAATTGTTCTGATTTTTTTTTATTTTTCTAATTTATTTTTCTAATTTGTGTTGGAAGAATTAGAACTTAACGTAATAGTTTTATTTTAGTCTGTACTACCCTGATGTCATCTAGATACTTTAGTTCTAGAGAATGTACTTTAAGAAAGATACAGAAAAACAAGCAGTTTCTAAAGAGAAAAGTAAAAATGATCAATATTATGAAAAAAATCT